ATAAGTTTCTTACAAGAGAGTTAACAGAGCTTACTAAGACTTTTATTATATGCTGTTTATATTTTTAAAAAATCAAGATTTCTGTAAAGTAGTATTATGAGAAATTAAATATTGTAGAATTATATTATGCATAAACTCTTTGGTTATAATCCTTTATTATATTCGTTATGTGGTCAGCTTAACTACATTGAATAATACAAGCATAAAATTTTGTTGGACCATATAAAAAAGGAATTTATAGAAATTAGCAATTAATAACAATACATAGATATGGTACCAATGTAATATTTGCTTCAATTTCCTTTCTAATATTAATATCTAAATTAGCTAAATGATATCTGCCTAAACCAACGTAATTCAAAGCTTTGTTTCTCATGTGGAATTCGACTAGCGCTTTAGCATTTTTCACGTTATCAAGTTGATAGTACGCCAAACTTTTCTAGAATCGGAGCTATACTGTGCATCAATGTAATAATCAACTACCTCCAAAGTGCTGATCTTATTATAATCTAATATTTTCAACAGTATCTTATAGTCGCAATAACTAATACGAAGTGTTTCTAAATTTTTGTACCTCGAACTCCTCGTTATAATCACATCCATCCATTATAATTTCTTGTAAAGTGTTTTTTTGACTCTTTAAAGCTGAGATGATGCCGTAAAATTCTTTAATAGTAAAATCTGTGCCAATTATGCTAAACAGCATAAGTTGTTCTTGTGATTTAATAACATATATAAGAGCATTAATTAATTGTATTTGATCATCTTCATAATCAGAATATTCGAATTCAAGTTCCAAAGCAATAATTTTCGTAGCAATTTTTGCTAAAATCCTTAATAATGTAGTAGTACTTTTAATGTTGGAGAATGCTATTCTGCCCAAAGATAGATATTGGAGTCGTGAGAAAAATTGCACATTTCTTCTTAATGAGTAAAAGATCTCTGGGTTAAATTTAAGAGAATCAAAGAAATATACAACTAATTTATGCAAAGTAGTGCCTTTTTCAATAAACAGTTTGAATAGTAAATTAATTACTATATTCATTAATGTGTCGTAATATGATATTGGTTTAACAAGCTTGAGATTGATCCATTCATTAACTTTACCTTCTAAATAAGATAGATGAAGAACTTTTAGAAATCTTGTATAATCAAATAATGTTTTGGAAAATTCTTCATTTATTCCACATTCTTTTGAAACAAAGATTTCTTCTTCGCCAAGAGATGAAAAATATTCAGAAATGAATAAAGGCCTTCGTTCGAATGAAAATGGTTCTTGCCAAAGAATAGGTACAGCCATTTTGCACCAATGTCGGTTCACAAGTGCGCACGAGTATAAGGAACAAATATCATTATTTAGATTGATGAGAATAGCTCTATTAATTCGGGCATATCTCCCATAAGTATTTTCGAAGCCATAATAAGAATGGAAATGAGTTTTAGAAAACGATAGTAAACCCAGGTTTAGGTTTAGGAGTAGGATTAGAGTCAGAGCTAGGGTTAGGGTTATTAGGATCATTATATGTCATATCATATTCGCTTATACAAGATATCGCTAATAATCTAACAGCTGATTTACTTGACATGAGTCTATCTGACACAGCAACAGACCAACTCAGTTTTTTTTTAGATTTTATCAAATCAGATTGCTCTTTTGTAAATGGATTTTTAAATGTGCCAATTTCTGAAAGTTTTCTATACGATAGTCCATATTTCAGATCTAAGTAGTCTGCTTTTTTTGAATCCTC